ACAGACAGACAGAGAGAGAGAGAAACAGACAGACAGAGAGAGAGAGAAACAGACAGACAGAGAGAGAGAGAAACAGACAGACAGAGAGAGAGAGAGAGAGAAACAGACAGACAGAGAGAGAGAGAGAGAGAGAGAGAGAAACAGACAGACAGAGAGAGAGAGAGAGAGAGAGAGAGAAACAGACAGACAGAGAGAGAGAGAGAGAGAGAGAGAAGTATATTATGTAGTAGTACTTGTAGTGTGCCGTCCCTTGTCTGGCGCTGCCTGCCACAGGTAGCTGTGTAATGAGGTCACACGTGAGCACACGTGCTCTGTATCCTGTGGTGGAGTCAAAGAGAGGCAGCATACTAATTGAGTTAATGAGGAGAGGTTTAGAGGCCGTGGGTGGGGATGATCTGCTCTCTGGTGGCGGCCACGGAGAAAGGGGGGGAGGAGGCGCTGGCTAAGGAGATCAACGCAAAACCGATTGCACTGCATACATAACATAATACATACTCGTTCAAAATATTATGATCTCTCTCTCTCTCTCTCTCTCTCTCTCTCTCTCTCTCTCTCTCTCTCCACGCTTGCTCACGCACACACTCACACTCACATCCTCAGCTTGAGCGTACACACACCGGACGAGCTGTTTCATCTTTAGGTGTGCCTTCGCTTCACTTGCGATATTACTCATCAGTAGTCAGTGCGTCCATGTGGAACTGCAGTCGAGCCTGCTCTAACGGCCACCTGTATAAGACAATCACTTGTGCAAACAGCCACTTCCCATATCCCTCTTTTTTTACGGGTAGTTTTTTTTTTTTACATCATGATGACACGATGTAGTAAGACGGCGACCTGTCCTAGACTGCCACTTGCCTCCTCGACAATGGGTGGCTGTCTTAGACTATTCCGGCTGTGTTGCCATGTTCCGACTGTCATGGTCTCTGAAGTACCGCTAAACCGGAACATAATTTGTCTTTGATCGTTGTTTAGCACGCTTCAAAAATGTTTTGTCTCATTCCAAGCTGTCAAACTAATAACTTGTGAGCCAGGACTAATGGTAGAGCTAGATGATGTCAACCTTTCGATGCATAACAATATTGCATCCCGCACTTGTTACCGAAGCGTTGCGTTTTTCAGTACATATGGGGTTCATGTATCCGATGGTGATCGGGATTAGAGATTCAGGGGGGGGGGGGGGGGGGATATGATTCAGATATAAAAATTCTGCTGGTGGGGGGGGGGGGGGGGGGGGGTGTAGTACTTTTTTCAACTGGGTGATAAACGTTGTAAATTGTAACACTGGTGTTGGAGATAACCTTTCTCTTTTTTTTTTCTTTTTTTTCTCTTTATTTTATGTTGTTGTTGTTGTTGTTTTTTGGGGGAGGGTTGTTTTTCAACTTTTGCTGTGCGAAATTGCTACTGTTTCTTGATCTAGATCTGGTTGGTAGTTTGTCAGTTTTTCTTCTTTCGTATTGCTCAACTTCTCCCCTCAGTGTTATTCGATCTTACCTACGCATTTGATAACCAGACCTGCCTCCCATCCCCGGGGCGGAGCTACAGACTAGTGACCGAAGTGTCTGTAGGCCATTCCCAAAGGCAGGACATTAACCATGTTCTTATGCACGGTAGAATTGTAATTGTAAATGGGCTGATTCATCAATGTCATGCTCATAGCTGTGCCTGAACTGCAACAAGGAATTGCTGCTTTTTCTTTCCTAATCCTTACTATCGTCATTTTCCCTCTACTTCTTTTGTATGTTTGTCACACTCTTGTGATCCGTTATTTCCGGAGTGCCTTGATTGTAGAAGCAGACTTTGTGCTGTTGAAGCTAGGGAGGTGAACAGAGTAAGTCTGATTCCCTGTAAGGACTTCTCTGTTGACATCCACCCCTTGGCACTCGTATTGCCTAATGCTGTTGCGAGCGTCGTTGACGTCTACTAAAACAAGACCTGCCTCCTGTCCCTGAACTGGTGGTTGGAGGGCGCCACCGGTAGGTCCCACGCCTTAACTTTCCCTCTGTTGTGACTGTCTGTATGTTTTTACTCAAACAAACTAACAAAAGCGGTCCTTGAAAAGGTGACGTTTTGTGGCTACACGGTTTGTGAGCTCGCCCTCTGTGCCCTGCAGTGCAGTGGTCGCCGGACTTTCCCCCCTAAACCCCGATCAATGTTTTATAATCGCATGCAAATGTTTCATTCGGCGACTTATACAGCTAGGTCTCATAATTCTCTTATGTGGTTTGTACTGGTTTCATCATTAATAATCCCCTGTCGTAACGTACGGCACGGGGAATTGAGACGCTTTGTCAGTATTAGGAGCACATCAGCAAAAAAGAAAAACAACAAAAACAAAGGGGAACCGCACAGTAAGTTAATTAGTTCGCCTTTAGTCCTCTTAAGACTGTCAGCCAACTACCTACGCTCCCGACGCACGCGTTGTACAATAAATATGCTGTTGAACTGCGGGGCATCGGAATAAAATAGTAGACCTTTGAGATTATGGGCAGTTGGAACTGTAGTGCCAGTGCTACTCTCTTCTTTTGTGAAAAGGTTTGTACAAAGTATGAATGACTCGGGGTTGAATAGGGGTTTTATTGTATCGTGGGTTGCACGAAATCGTGGTGATACAACATGCCTGTGCTGTTTTCTGTTTTACTAAGGACATTGTCCAGATTATTCGTTTGGGTTTTTATCAGGGTTTTTTTTAGGGGGGGGGGGGGTAGGTTTTTTTTTAATTCATTGTTTTCTCTTTTCGTGTATTTTTGAAAGTTGAAGTTGTTTCCTTGTTTTTAAGATGGGGGGGGGGGGGTTATTTTTAGTAACCTCCCGGTCTTAGCAACGGTAACTTATCAGATATACTTCCCTTTATCTCAAACGATCTACCACTTTTATTTCTCTCTTGGATATGTCGCCACCTTAGAATTACAAAGTTATATCTGACATTTTTGGCCGTTCTGAGTTACTAAGACCATGGGGTCAGAAACCAAATTTTAATGTTCTGCTTTATCAGAGTCGTAATCAAGATATTCAAAGAACTGGATTAAAGAAAGCTGGACATGTTACGAAACTTACATTTTGTAACGTAAAGTTCCTAAAAACTAGGCGCTGAGCGGACAGAACTTTGTAATTCTGCGGTAGCGATGTGTTTGTCTCACGTGCTGTTCCGTGTATGAACTTCAGCTCTATGGATCTGCTGTCCGACATCTTATAGATAAGATTTTGCATGCTTGCTGGACAAAGCTGTGATTTAAGATAGCATGTTGTAAGGTGTTTTTAAAAAATAATGTAAATCGACACGATTTAGATAATGTAGGAGACAGGTCTTCCGACCCTGCCCATCAAGGCAAACCTGGGCTGAGAGTTATACAGCATCCCAGCACAGAGACGAAGATACTCGACAAAAATGTCTTTCCACTCGGGAATCGAACTTGGGTCTTCTGTGTGCGACAGAGACTCGTGTAAGCTGTTTAGACGCGTGTGTATCTGTGTACTTCCTAGTAATGTCTTGCCCTGCAAGCTTAGCGGTGGTGGTGTAAGCCGGCCAGGTAGGCTGAAGCTTGGCTGTCCATAGACGTCGGGAAAAGAACGGACGGTATGGCGAGCTTTCATGGTGTCAGCAGTCGCCATATTGCCTGCCTTTTGGGACCGGAAAGGGGCGGAGAGAGAGACAAGAAAATTAGGACTGGTGCCCACCAGCACTCCTTTTCATCGCGAAATAACACACCCGAAGATTTGTACTTGAATATACGTAGTAGATATGGTCTGTTTTCTTTCTTTCAGTCTTTCGCCCCTTTTCTCTGCTAGCACAAGAGTGTGTCATGTTCCTCATTTTCGAAATTTAACTTGTGGGACATGAAGTATGTCTACCCAAAAAAAAAACCGGAAAATCTTATGGCGCCTGTTCCGTCGGTTCGCCCCCATGTATCATCATTGCTATCTCTGTGGCCCTGTCCAGTGTGTCAGCTGTCACGAGACAGCCGGGGCTGTACTGGACACCGGTCACTTGTGTTCTCTTCCTCCCCCCTCTCCTCCTCCCCCCCCCCTCCCTGGGGCTGATGAATGACGCTGTGCTCGGACCAGGCCACGGGGCCAGGCCACGCAGAGGTCAATTGGTGCAGAACTTGATGTCATCAAGTCAAACGTCGTGTCGTTATGCCTCGACCGTGTAACCTTAACACCTATAGTTAGGCGAGCACGTCTGCTCGTGTTTGGAGGACATCAGTGGTTGTTCCACCTCTTTGCTACCCCACGGTTGGTTTTGTCTGCTCGTCTTACTGTTGCACGGGCTCAAATGACCGTTATTTGTCGAGTAATGTGTCTACTGAGAGGCTGTACGCCATTCACCACGGCTTGGCCCTGACGGGCAATTTCCAAGCAACCCGCCTCCTAAATTAATTAAATTGTGTTGAGAGGAGCGTCAAAGGTATGCCCAAACATTTTGTGATATGTATCGCTTGCAGTGTTCTGACCACACCACTCAGCTAACCATTTCTTATTTTTTCCCGGTTCAGGTTTGGATGGCCAGTCTCTGTACTGCAGTGAAGTTCTTCCCAGCGCGTCCCCGCCTACTCAGTCCGGCAAAGGGGAGGAGGGCGCGGCCGGTCGGCGCGGTGTTCTCGCTGTCAATGGCGGTTCGGCCACCCAGAAAGTGCAATACACCATCATCATCACAGACCCTCAGCTGCAGCAGAACGGAGAACGAAGAAACAGCGTCAACAATACCTCTGGTGCTTCTAACATCCTATTGACTACTTTAGTGCAACAGCAGCAACAGAAATTGCAACAGCAGCAGTTGCAACAACAACAACAACAACAACAACAACAGCAGCAGCAGCAGCAGCAGCAGCAAGCTCTAACTCAGGCTAACCGTGTAGATAACCTTGTGGAGAACCCGCTCCCTGTGGCTGCGTCTGTGTCCGGGAACATCTTCCTCACGAACTTCTCTGCTGGTCCCGTCAATGGCAGCAACAGACTGGGCAGTGTGCTGATTGGCAAGCAACCCTTCTCCTCGGCCGCCGCTGACACAGACACCTCTGCCTGTGGTAGCGCCAGCTCAGCTGCCTCGGCCACACACTCTGCTGATGTAAATAGTTCTAATAAACCTGTGGACAGAAAACACTTGACCGCTAACCATCTCAATCTTCTTGCAAACAGTAAGCTGCCTTCCGCTATATTAGACAGTGAGGGTAATTTAGTGATTTTAAACTATGCGGATAAACACGTGACTGGCAACGGATTGGGATTAACCGAGCTAAACCAGGTCTCGTTGACTGGTGCTAAACTTGTCCACCCGGCAGCTGGCTCTTCTCAGGACTTGAACCCTCACTTTGTGCATGGTGTGATTGCTGACGGGCAGCATCACCAGCATGTGCTGAGGGCAGACGCTCAGGGAAACTCTGTGGGAGTGCTGGTAGCCACGTCAGCCAGTTCTCAGGTCAACCAGCACCAGACTTTTCAAACGGGTATTGTGAACGTGGACTTGAAGCAGGACTCTGTCCAGTACAATGGGCAGTCTGTACCGGAGACAGAGCAGTGTGAAAGTGTGAGTACTGTCCGTCGAACCAGTTCCTCCAGCAGTACCCAGTCTTTGCCGTCAGGGGAGCCGCTCGCGGACGCCGCCTCGCCCCCGGACAGGCCTTCAGGGGGCATGCACAGTGGACGGCCGGGAATAGGCGCAGGTCAACCCCACAGCACTCACACGCAGCAGCAGCAGCAGCAGCGGCAGCACAGCCCACTCAATAGCAGCAGCAACCTCTCGTCTGCAGTCTCGGCAGCAGCAGCAGCAGCTACATCGAACCCAACGGTCATGCTGTCGGCCGGCCAGCCTGCCGTGCCGTCGGGTCTGTTTCGCACAGGAGCAGACAACCCTTCGGCCCCGTCTCACCGGCTGAGTGGTGGCGGGGCAGGTGGCTCAAGTTACGTCCCCGCTCAGTATTCCACCATCTACGGCGTGCACGGCCAGAGCCCGGGGCCGGCGGCGCTGAGCGGAGGCCTGCAGCCCTACAACGCCTTCTTCCCGCAGTTCGCTGGCTCGGCTGGAGCCTCGGGACACGGCTTCACTCACAACCCGCTGTTAGCAGCCTCGTCTCCGGGCGCGCACTACCAACAGTTTGAGTCCTACTCTGCCATGCTGGCCTCTATGGGCAGCCATGTGCAGCACCGCGGCGCGCAGGGAGGGGACGTACGGTAAGTGGTACAGATGTTGTCTGCTTTTTCTCCGAGGGAATCTCAGGTCATGCTAGACAGTTGTACCATTGGGGGGGGGGGGGGGGGGGGGGGGTTTGTTACTGCTCAGGGCGATCTATATATCGCGCTTATAATATGTGGAATTCAAAATTTACCAAATATCACACATATGATAAGCTTAGTGAGGAGTCTTCAAATCTGCAATCAAATTTTAGGGGAAAAAAAGTTTCGTTGCCATCGAGATGGCCGCCATATTGGATTTTGTTAACATGTTTGAACAATTAATACCTCATTTATTTTCAATGGAAATGGATTGATATTTTGCATACATGTTAGCAAACAATAGCTCTACAAAAGCTTCCGTTGAACTTTTCCTACAAAATACATGTATAAAATTTTTCATGGATTTTTTTTTCTGAAGGTAGTGTTCCAGGTTGCAAAAAAATCTGTGAAAGGTCACACTCCAGACACGCAAATAAAAATCTATTCCATATATTGAACATTCAACAGACAGTTTTATAGTTTTCCATCCTTTTTTTCATTCTGTGAAAATTGTATGATGGTTGGATGCAAAAATGGCGGAGTCAGTAAAAAAAAGTTATAATAGAAAAACAGTGTTTTGAGAAAACGGACGATAAAGGGGGGGAAAAAGGGACTTGATGAGGATATGGTGGTTACTAACATTCCTGATATGTGACAAAATAAGGCTTTATGGAGTTCTTTTGTGATGAAATAGTTTGTAAGAGAAGCTGAAGAAGCCAAAAGTGCCTACATCTCGAAATTCATAATTTTGACCCATATCAGAACTTTCAGCTGTAGGGTGCCATGTTTATGATCTTAATCGTATAAGACTACCATTGAGAATGAGAATGTGGGTACGTCAAATGTTATGATATTTCAACTCTTAAGGGAAACAATAAGAGAATCTGAAATTATTAAATAAATTATAATATTACAATTAAATGGGTTTTTTCAATACCCTTTGTCGCCTATTGTAGCCCCCGCCCCGACCCCCCTGTTCCCCACTTTCCTCGCATAGAAAGGCCATATTTTGAAGTTACTTGTATTTCACTGACTCTTTCAATTAATAAAAGTACAAGTACGCCTAGGGCACATATACATATGTCGCAAAGTCGCAAAGTATAGGTGTGCTTTGAAAATGGCTGGTAGACATGGTTAGGAACAAGTAAAGTGTCCTCCTCTTTTAAGCAAAAATATATGGTCGGGAAAAGTTCAACACTGTCTCTTGGCTGTCAATCCTTCTCTTGCCATACTGCGTTTGTAAACCTAAGCAGGATATCAAGAGTATCACCCCTGGTGCCTTTGACTAGAGCGCCGACAAAGGTCTCAGTAACTCTGGCTGAAGCACTGGCTGTGTGTACCTGGTCACCTCGGGTTGTTCATGAAAGGTATGCTGTAGACACTCTTCTTTCTCTCTTTTGACTTTCCCTGTCTGTCTCAAACCGATCATTCTTGTGTTAATGGCATTCTCTTTCCCTCCACAACCTGCTCCCTCTCAGAGCACCGAGAGTTCCAGTGGCCGGCGTGCCAGCACGTCCCGGTACCTTCCTGTCGCAGGGCGCGGCGGGCGCTCACCCCCTGGCCGGGCCGGGCGGACAGTACCCGAGTATCTCGTCCGCCACCTCTTCCTCCTCCGCCTCACACCGTCGTCTTTCAGGCAGCAGCTCTCCCAGTCCGGGCCCCGCCGCCGCCGCCAGCAACCCAGCAGCCTCGGGTTTGACCTCGCGACTTGACCCTGTGACCTCGAGGCTTGACCCCGTGGCCTCACGTCTTGACCCCGTCTCCTCTCACCACTTGGAGAAGCTCGCCGCTCTCAAAGGCGCGGGTCACGACAGGAGATTGGACCTGGACAGCTCGAGAGATCTGCGGCTCTACGGGGCGCCCTCTGCTGGTGAGGCGGCTGCAATCTTAGATGAGAAGCACCAACTGTCCCCATCCGGTTCCTACTCAGCCAGCGGCCACGTGCCCAAAGTCTCTTTCGACTCTGTTGTGAAGGAGTATGGTGGAGGCCGCGACTCGCCCACAGGCCGAGGGGACCCGAGAGACACTTACTTCCGATCGCACCTGAGTGGCAAAGAGGGCAGCCTCAAGCACCGCATCCTCATCAGGCCCGACTCAGAGGACGACTCGGCCAAAGTGAGCGGCGTGCACGGTCTCAAGGAAGAGCCGGCCACCAAACGCTTGAAGTTCTCCAGCGTGAGCGCAGCGCCTCTGTCCGGCTACGCCTCAGGCGGCCACCACGAGGAGGCTCACAAAGGGGAAAGACGACACCACTCCATCGGACACCCAGCACACCTGTCTGGGACCAACAACTCATCAGCAAGTGGTGGTGCGCCAGCGGACACGCGGCCTGCTCATCTTTCTGACAGCAGCAACAACACGCTGACTACCGCGCACCACACGACAGCATCCTCAATGCCCTCCTCTGCCCCTTCTTCCTCTTCATCCTCCTCCTCTCACCACTACCACCAACACCATCTTCCTCCTCACCATCATCATCTGTCACCCGGTGAGGAGAGCGGCGGTGATGATAACGTCTACAGCAAGTCGTCGTACAGCCCGACTACAGCCTCCTCCTCTCCCCCCGTCTCGGGCCCCTCCGCCGGCCCTCCCCCTTCAGCCACCACAGCGGCCGGCGGGGGCTCCCACCTGCAGTACCCAGTACATTTCATGAAGGGCTCCATCATCCAGCTGGCCAACGGCTCTCTGAAGCGTGTGGAAGAGCTGCAGACCGATGACTTTGTGAACAGCGCCGAGATCTCGGCAGACCTCAAGGTGGACTCTAGTACGGTGGAGCGGATCGAGGAGCACCCGGACCGCGGCACGGCCATGCTCAGTTTCTCCGTGGGCGAGCACAGGGTCCAGGTGAGAGACATAGCATCTTACCCTAGTGGAATAGTTTGCTCGTGCCCACAAGAATAGGCGGGTGGTTCAAAGGTGCCTCGGGGTGTTGGTCTTACGTCTTCTCTCCCCCGCCCCACTAAATTACCATTACTGTGTTGACTCTTTGCATAAACAAGCACGGATACGTAGGTTCTATTTTTAATTATGATGATGATAATAATAAAAATAAGAGGAAGAAGAAGAATATACAGCTTTTGTGCAGCGCATATTCCCTCATAACAACACGCTTTATGCACTTAATAGTCTGTATTATTCAATTCTTGACTGTCTATTATTTCTTGTTTTTTTCGCACTGTTACTCGGTCGATGCGCTGGTCCTGACTCAAACAACCAATGTCGGTAATAGATATCGTCGCCTCAGAACTATTTTGTCCAAAGTGTAACTCAGGTAACTCAGGTACACTTTGGTACGTGTACCTATTTCACTATTTACATCCTCGTTTTCTTGTTTATATTTGGTGGGTGTTCTGGTGTCGACTGCTCCTTTTTTTTAGCTCAAGTGTTTTGCAGGCGTGTTGTTAGCTCCCGTTTGTATCATGCTAGACATTAATATGGATGACCTAGGTTCGAATGTCTTCGGGCGTTCTTAGACCTTGGTTGTTTGAAGAGTTTGCAGTAAGGCCCTACTCTATCTAGGATCGGGCTTAGGGTCATTGGAAGTCCGGGGCTCGGCCTCTTACATAATTATCTTATACAGTGTTTGATAGGGGGCGCTCAACCTATACCATATCCTCCTTATGGTGTTGCGGGTGGTGAAAATCGCCAACTGGTAAGTGGTAGGTCCTATTTTAGTAGGCTACTTGCCATTTCTTATTTATGCATGTCGATCAGAATTGTTTTCTCTGAGCCCTAAACGTCCAGCACCGTGCCATGTGCTTTTTTCCTTCTTTCAAACTCAAGCTGGGGTGTGTTCCTGTCAGTGGTTACGGCTTGTTGTCGGTGGACAGTCGTGTGTGATCTCCACCTTTAATTTCTTTGCTATTATTGTGTGGGGTTTTGGGGCGCTTTCGTGTGGTCTCCTGTGTTTCTTCTTTTTGTCTTGGCGGTTCGTAGGCGATCTTGTGTTGTCTGCTCTTTCTATATCCTGTCAGTGAAATAATTCTCTGATGACACTTTTGGTCACCTCCAACAGTACTTTTTCTTTAAGGACACATGAAGAGCGAAGCGCATTGTTTGCTTTATTTTGGTAGTTTATACGCTTTTCAATGCGTGAAGTTTACTCTTCTGTAATCTGACATAACTAGGTTGTTAGATTGTGGTCCTCTGATAGTCCTGCGGTTTTTCTGTAGACAACAATTGACACTTACTCAGTGTATCACACTCATCATTCTCTCACATCTTTTCGTTCCGTCTGATGGTGGGTTTTATAATCATCATAATAATAATAATAACTCGTCCTTTCTCTCGGAAGCAAGGCGCGAAGTCGAATTATTGATGTACATGTACTTTAATCACACGTCTGAGTTGACCACGGCAGGCGGCTGCCAAAGGGAGTAGGAAGGTGCAACGAGAAGGTTCTTACTTTTCTTTCCCACAGTTCTTTATGCCTATCTTGCCTTTTCTCTCCACGGCAAAAAAAGTCGTTTGATGTGCTTTTCCTTACCCTTACAAAGGAGGACCAAAGAATAGTTGAATCAGGTCGGACGTACGCATTGAGACATGACCGTACTGTTTGAGCGTGTGCATTTCTTACTCTGGTTCTTGAAGTCGGGGGCGCAAGGGGATGGGGGTTCTGGTATATTTTTTACGTCGTATTTTGTCTAGGGCATCCCTGATACTTACAATATATAATCGTGCGCCTCACATTACTAGAAAAGGTAACTTTTTAATCATCTGAAATCTTAAACCTTTTTCACAATGCTAGTGATTGTTTGTCGTTCTGGTCTTGTTAGCGTTCCGACTCTCTGTAAAAATATATCTGTAGGACGATAGTTTTTACCCGAGTAAAACGAGGGGGTGGGATGGGGGGTTATGAACAAACGCCACCACTTATTGGCTTCTTTTCCCTTTGTTGTTTCAGTCTGTCTTGGTTTATTCCAGCGCGAAATATCCGTCAACTTGATGCTTCTCTTTTATTTACACGTTTTTGTCGTTCATCTAATTTTATCCCAGATTCCCCTAGCTTCTGACATAAGTATTTTAATTCGGAGGACTGTGCAGGTTGGGGGGAGGGGAGAGGGGGCTACGGCTTTTTTTGTTTTTGTTTTGTTTTGTTTGGGTTGTTTTTTAGGGGGGGGGGGGGTGCGGTGGGTGTTGGTTGTTTTATTCGTTTGGTTTTATTAAAGCTGTATTTTGTATCTATGTCTGAGTCATTGTCTGATGGTGTTCATCCCGCACAAGTCAGACCCTTTAGACAGGGTTAACATAACCTGCCTCCTGAATGATCTACATTTTGTCAGTGTGGACGTTAAATATTTATATCCCGCCTCTGATGTACTCTCTCCTTTCGACCCTCTGTTATGCCATTGGAACGGCCTAGCTGTTTCTAATTAATTAAGTATCAAACTCACGGAAAAACAAGCCAGCACTATTAATTGCCTTTCATCGCCGACTCTGACCCACGGAGCGATATTTCTAGTACAAGTCTGTACCATTTTTAGCGCGTGTTTTGTTCTTGTTGACCGACACCTGGCTCCCTGGAAAATAAGGACACGGCACAAAAGCAGTAGTGTCTGTGGGAGGAAGCCATTGGTGGCTCCGTTATTTCTGGCAATAGACCTTCTTTGTCTGGCTTTGTGGTAGACTCGTGTGACTTTATAGTACTAGTGCACTGTGTGCGTTTTCGCAACACATGGTACCAGGGAGGGGAACAGATTTTAAATGTGTCCGTGAACGTGACATTTTTTGTGGGTGGTTGGCAGGTGCTCTGGTGTGGTTTGCTTCTTCTTTCCCATCAAACGTCTATCGTCATTATCTCCCCTCCTTCTTTTTGTATTTGTTACTCTCTTGTAACACCTCTAATCTTCGGAACTTGTATGACCGTATTGTGTTGCAAGTGCCGTAAAACACTTACTAAAACTTTTTTAAAAGACACCTGTTCGGCCTTGTCTACAGGGGTTTGTGCGCCTTCTCTTGAAAAAGATGTAGGGGGAGGGGGGGGGAGTACAAATATCAAATGTCTGAAAGCTTTGGCGTATATAATAATATGCGAAGACCGAATAGTCTGCGTTTACTTGCAAATAGAATGTGGGTGGTTGGCGGATGCTCTGGTGGGGTTTGTTCCTTCTTTCCTATCAAACATCTATCATCCTTATATATAAATGCCCCCTCCTCCTTCTTTTTTGTATTTATTACTCTCTTGTAACACCTCTAATCTTCGGCACTTATATGCCCTTATTGTGTTGCCAGTGCCGTAAAACTCTTACTAAAACTAAAGCAAATAGAATGCATCCTTTAATATTGCCTCGTGAAAATAGAATTTAATTATGAGAGGATTAATTGTGGGTAATAGGGGGCTGCCTCTCATTGTCCTTTGGTCTTTGTTTACTTTCTTTATTTTGTTCCTCAACTTTTATCATGCCTTTTTCCTGCCCTAAATAACAGTTAAAGTTTACGCGTGTGCTAATTTTCAACCGAAACATGAAGTTTTGTCGACCTTCTGTGGGCCAAGCTCAGACTTTTTCTTTTTCTGTTCACGAACTCGGAGCCTGTGTTTACCTTTAAAGTGAAAGAAAATTTCGGAGAAAATTTCTTGTAGTAAATAGTACATGTATATTGGTTAGTGCGTCGCCGGTGGCTTCTGCTATTTTTTTATTTATTTTTTTATCCCTCGTCACTAGTATTTTCTGTCCGGTTTTTTTTTTTTTTTTGGGGGGGGGGGGGGTTCCCCCAACATTAAAATAGCGTTGTCTTGTCGATGTTCCTGTCTTTAACTGAAGCTATTCGGATTGTACTGAAAAGACAAAAACTCAGACACTATTTATACCTACCTGCTTTACCCCGCTTTGTGTCTCCGACAGCGTAAACGACTGCAGATGGTTAAGGAAAGTCAAAGTACTGGACCTGAGAAGGAGTTTTGACCGGCTTCTGTTGTGTAGCTATTGAGCGCTTCGCCGTCGTACGCATGAGAACCTAGTTAGAATCTCGAGTTGGCAGAATTCCTATCGAATATCCCAGACGTTCTTCAGGGATATTGTATCCCACTCAGCTTGAGCTGATCGAAGCCCACCTCATAAAAATTGTCTAAATTGTGTCAACGGGGGCATAAAAACGCCGATGCCTGCCTGCCTTTATTTATTTTTTAATTCAACGTGTTTGGATTAAACAAACCAACTTTTAATTAATTTGTGTGTGGTTGTCTTGATTGAAATTCCGTAGTACTCGTGGACTGGAAAGCCTCTGTATGGTTATTTTATTTATGGATCGATGTTTTCACCACAAGGGTCTGTAGCAGTGATATAGCTAGCCGCTTCCTGTCCGATCAATCCCACACGAATGGTTACAGTAACGTCATAGCTCTATAAAAGGAAAGAGAATTGCTTCTCGCTCGTCTGTTTCTTCCCTTTTTCATCTCCCTTTATTTTTTTTAACCCGCGTCTTTGTTGTTGGTTTTTTTTTCCCTCGGTTGTCACGGGTCGGCTAGCGTCGGTGCGGCCATTAACGGCTGTGCCTACGTCAGTGCACGGGTGGGCGGTGGCTATTCCCGGCTCGCTTCCCTCACGGGGGCCTTTTCTTCTCCTTTCTGCTTCCTGTGGCGACTGCCCGCTTTGTCACCGGATGACGCGGTCTCCCCTAGCAACTGATGCTTGTCTCGGCAGCGGCTTTATCTTTCCGCGACTTTAAAGGAAGCTGAGGGGGGTAGGGGTAAGCTGTAAGGGAGGGAGGGGGTAGACAGTTTTCAAGGATGAAATAGCAAAGGGAGGTTACGGATAAAGTTTTGCTGTTTGTCTGTTCTTCTTTAACTTGTACATCAATTGTAGATATACATGTATGTACTGTACTCCATATCAATCTCTTTTCTCTCTCTCTCTCTCTCTCTCTCTCTCTCTCTCTCTCTCTCTCTCTCTCTCTCTCTCTCTCTCTCTCTCTCTCTCTCTCTCTCTCTATCTCTCTCTTTCTCTCTCTCTCTCTCTCTTTCTCTCTCTCTCTCTCTCTCTCTCTCTCTCTCTCTCTCTCTCTCTCTCTCTCTCTCTCTCTCTCTCTCTCCCCCCCCCCCCTGTCTCTCTCTCCTTCTCCCTCTCCCCCTCTCACTCTGCGTACTCCCTTGTCTTTTTTTATATTGTTGACTTGCCATTGCCACCCTCTCCCCTCTATCCCCACCCATTGACAATCTGGCTGTTAACACTTGTACGTGTCTGAGCAGTGTAGTTAATTGATAGGTGCTGTTGTGTGGATATTATCCTCCGCGCCTGTTCCTTGTGAAATTTGTCCAGGAGACTCACCACAAACTAGAAGTCATCATTTGTAATTCTATAGCAGAAGCATGGTTTTCAAAGTTGTCTTAGCAACTGAATGAACAAACGTACTGTTTGTGAATACAGTAAGGTGGCCCACTTTAAGGCACCCTTGAAAATATAGCTTTCAGATTGAATTTTGTCTCTGTTATTGATGGTCTATGTCACACAAGGGAAAAATTTGCAATGGTATCCGCATTATCACACAATTGAATCCTTTTTCATGGTGTGAAATGTTGGTTTTGTAAACGAAACCTTGCAGTAGAGAGTCTTAAGATCATGAAGAAAACTGAATACCATTGTTGCATTGTTTAGTTTTTTCTCCTCCTTTTTTGTGTTTGTTTCTCTCTTGTAATACCTGTAATCTTTGACATGACCTTATTGTGTTGCAAGTGCCATTAAACTACAAGTAAAACTAACAACTATGTTTTTTTTGTTGCTAGGTGACAGTGGAAGCAACCCTTGAGCATCCCTTCTTTGTGTTTAGTCGTGGCTGGTCCTCTTGCTCTGTGTCCAGGACCCTAGCACGCTACGGCCTAGATTGCCAGAAACTGTCTGTCGGGGACGTCTGCATCTCTCTCACACAGAAGGATGTGGATCTAAAAGCTGCAGAGATCAGCCAACAGCAGCAGCAGCATGAGCATCAGCACAGTGGCTCCCCCAGCTCTCCTGAGCAGCACAACAGCAGATTGCCGGCCCCGTCCACATTCTCTCACCATATTCCTACGCCGCCTGTTTCCTTTTCAAGTCCGTCTTCGTCGGCGGTGTTGGCATCTTCCAGTTCGCCGATAGGTCCTGGGTCTATGAAGACAGAAAACCCGGAATGTTCCTCCCCGTTCCCCGGCCCGTCGCCGGTGTCCTCACCGTCAACTTCAGCTCCGGCAATAAAGAGAAGAGCCTCTCAAGCAGAGCTTCCTCCTCCTCTGTCCAACATTGTTCCTGTGAAGAAAGAGAACAATCACTCCCGGCGGAGGGGCTCGTACAATGGGGACAGCCATGTCAAGGAGGAGGATGTTGTCAAGGAGGAGGAGGAAGAGGACTCGAACTCAGTGCTGCAGAAAAGACACTGGTCGCCCTCAGACACAGCCTCGATAAAAGCGGAACAAGACAGGGAGAGACAACTGCGGGCAAAGGAGACACATAAGGCAGATGAAACCAAGAGTGACAACGGGCGACAGTAGTTGGGACTCAAACTGACACTCACACACACCCTCACTCTCCCCAAATCCCCCCTCCCTCCACCCAATTCCCCCCTCCCTCAATTCTTACCTTTCTGACTGCTGTCCACCCTCCAGCTGTGTTGACAGTGGCATGCGAGAACTGTGTGCGGCAAGAATAAACTGTGAGTGGACGTACAACTCAGATGATATAGGAACTGCTGTGAGCAAACAGTGAGGCTGATGCCACTACACTTCCGCATTTGATTCCACCTCTGCTGTGACCGATGATGTACTGAATGTAGTTGCCCTTTATCCCAAACCTCTTTGGCTTGACATTAGAAATTTTCAGATTCAGATATTGTCGTTGTATGCATCAGATGAATTGTACGTTTCCAATGTATATCCCCTCCCCATTGTCATGATGGTGTTGTTGACATGAAACTGTTGATTGTGATGAATGGTCAAGAATGCTGACCTTTGATGGGGTACACAATTGCCTCTCTCACCCCACCTGAGCATCTTTCTAGAGAAACTTTGGTGATAATAAATGTATTATTTTTTGCTGGTGTTAAACAATTTTTTATCTTATCTGATCTGGGGTATGTGGTAGGTTTTTTTTTTCTTTTCAGGTTTGGAGGGACTGCAAATAAACGCTAAAGATTTTAATTAATTTTTTTTGTTTGGTCAGGCTTTATAAATCTGCTGATGTTCTTTTCATTCCACACTGTCTTTTAAAACAAGACATAATCCTGCAGTCTGATTAATGTAATCAGTTAAGTTAATGGAAAATATTTTTATTCTGTACCACTTGAAGAGAAAAGGATTGTAAAAAAAAATAAAAATGATTGGATTTTTTATTTTACAGTCCTTTGTAATTGTATTTCATTTCCTTAACTGTCTGTACAAGTGTTCCCTTATATCAAAAGCTTGAGACTGCAATTTGCTTGTTTGTGTTGTGAGAACACTGAGAACACAAACTGATAAAGACTTTAATTGGAAAATATAATTTCCATTTCATGTGTAGTACAGATAACGTCAAGATGTTTTGGAACCTATCGTCTTTATTAATAACTGGATCTTACTGTCCACAAGTAAAGAAGGTTAAGTGTACATGTTTTACACATTCAAGTTTTTGGGGGGGGGTTTCGTAAAGATGTAAACAGGCAGTTTTTAATCAAGTCTTCTCTATTTTCTGTACTAAAGCCATAAAATGAGTTCATGTGTGTCTGGCCTGGACATTTATCTGCTGGATGATTTTTATATTGCAAAACTGCTTTTGAATACTGTACTCAGTTGCTTTTTCATTCCTATTATGTAGTAACTGGATGCTTAGTGCATTTTATCTCATGGCACAGAATTCTAAGGGAGCAACCATTCCTCAGGCACACAGAAAGCACTAAATATAGAGTACTCATTCGTTAAGAGCAGCTTTTTATTTTGATTACTAACTTCAAGTTTTAAGGACCTGTGTGATGCCTTCATGAATCTCGCATTATTCTTATAATACCGCCATTGTAAAAGTGATGCCTATTGGAATTGTTTTTGTAACTTGTGTGTCAAAATTCACATTGGGTTTTTTTTTATTATTATAAAGGCCAATCTATAATGACAATGTGGTCTTACAGTACAAGACTGGTGTGAAATCAGTGGAGAAATATAAGGTATCTCCCAAGAATGACAAATATGTTACAATATTTTAATTTATCATTAGATTTTTTTCTTTCTTTGCCCCAGTAATTGCTGTCAAGAGAGAAGATGGAAAATGGATGGGAACATGTGTTCGTGACATGTTATAAGCTTTAGGGAACTGAAAAGTTGATGAGTATTTCTATACTTAGTGAGTAAGGTACTTTTCCTATTCTCCGACCCCTGTGCTTTCAGTATTGGCCTTTTTGTGAGAAAATACAGAGCATTAAGCACTCAGGTCTTCTCTATAGCTTGTTCACTTTCGTCTGAGAGCGTTAAGAAATTCTTGCTCGTTGAGGAATTTTCCTATGCCTACGAAACTTTGTGTGGCATTTCTGCAGGCCAGTGACCAAACAAAAATATGTTTTTGACCCTGTAATAAAAAAAAAAGTTTTTCTCTTTGGGCCCAATTTTAAAAATTGCTCTTTGGATGCATACACTGGTGGATCACTAAAATAAATTACTTACAGTAGCCTTACCTACAAATAGCTCATTTTGATTTTGAGACAGCAACACCACCCTGCCCTCACATTTCAGTGTAAGCTAGTAGATTTCATTCCCTAGCTATCTGGAAGTGCTTTTAAACTTTAAAATGTTTTAGGTGTATGCTGTAAAACCCGTATTATTTTTTGGACCTGTTTTAGGCTGACATCAAAGATAACGTGTCGAAACCTTAGTTTGCAGTAACTTTTATGAATGGGCTGTTGGTCACTGAACTTTTAGACCCGCATGCAAAGACCCAGAAAGACTAAACAGCGATTTGTTTTTATCCCATTTTAACCGGGGTCAGACGAAAGTGAACAAGCTATAATTTGTCCATCGTAGGAGCGTAGGAACTGTGTCTGAAATATTTCTAAGACCTCTAACAAGTTTGGAAATTTACACAGTCAGCAAACAGCTATGCTTACTCCTTCAAGTAAATTGTCAGTTATAATCAATGTTATGAAAAATATTCTATTCTTGACATAAAATTTCGTTCACTGTTTATTGCTGTAGGGTTTTATCCAGTGCCTAAAAATGGACCTAAACACACGCTCTTTGATGAAACTTCAGTTGGCTTTAAAATACCTTAAAAACCCAAAACACTCAGATGTGTTTCAGATAAATGGATCTCTTAAAAACAGATCAGTGTTGGTCAAATCCTACTGCTGTTATTGTCCTTCTTTCTGTTTTTCGCACAGTTGATAATACCACTGATATGGAGAACTGTGTTGTATTGTTAGAGCTCCTTTTCATTCATGAAATGCTTGTTTGTAAACCGAAATGTACGAAGGGCAATGGTTTGGAGAACAACTGTCTTTGTGATGTTGATATTTGTGATTCTTGCAGACTGGCTCAGGTGGGATGTATACTCGTGATCTATGCTATGCTGCTCTCTGTATGGTGTATGTGTGTGTGTGCATGCAGGTGTATGTGTGCAGTGCAGTTGACCATGTGTACAGAGATTTATTGTACATAGCCTTGTCTACTGTGTAATACCCACAGACATGGGGTTTTTCTCAGCCTTTCGTCTGACACTTCATGTTTACCATGATATGTCAGTGTGTCTACAAATGTGATTTCAAATTGTACATGTACTAGCATCAATTTTTATGTTGTCAACCGAAAAGTTATTTTTTAAAGTTGCTTATAGAAAAGTTTTTGTCTTTCTAAAGAAAGTGAAATATTTACAGCAGTATCTGTTTGTTGTTTGGTCAGGGTAAAAAAGTGTTGGGATAATACCACTCACCCTGTTGGAGTAAATCCTGGCTTGTTTGCAGTAAGTGGATGCTGCTGTATGTGATTACAGTGATGTCATTTTGGCCTGGGTCTGTCTGACTTATGCTTAAGTGAAACTCAGCAACCAGAACTTTTGTAAGGCTAGGATGGGCATTTTTTAATATGTCAGCTCAAGTCGAGGTAAAATTGTGGAAAATTCTAAAAAAGTGTTTTTAGATTTATTTATTTTTTCGATTTTTACTCCTGAGAACTATGAAGTTCTTAGAACTATGAAGTAGCACTTCATCTGAAATCTTAACTCTGTGAAGACCTGTACATTAAATGAAAGCAAAGCAACATTAATGAAGAAAAGCTGACAAGTGTATGCACTGTGGTTGATGCATGTCAGTGCAGTGGGCCCTCCCAATGTTAGGGACATGGCAGCTGCAAATTGTCTTTTACAAGCGTGCGATATGTCTCTCTCAGTCACACCTGCTAAATTGTAGGGAATGGGCTTATCAGTTATAATGTAAGTGATGTAGGTGAAATGAAATGGATTTTGTAAGTACTGGGTAAAATCAAATACATATTTTATTTAAGGGAACTTCTATTTTATATTCAGGGGGGGTAGAATTGTTGGGTAATTAGTATGTGATCTTTAATCATGAGGATTTTGATATCTCTTCTGCTGTATGTGGAACTCTCTCGCTGTCATACTGTGTGGGGCCTGGTGATAATTATTCAAAATGTTGAATGACCCAACGTTCAGTGTTTTTTTAAGAGATCATTTTACCCTTTCTGTAAACCATGGTATGAATCAAATTTGCACATGGTTTCTTTTCATTAGCCTAGAGATACCGGCTTAGTTATTCTATAGGAATATCTAATTTTAAAGGGGTTTTTTTATTGATCGAAGGGGGTTTTCATGGCTTTTAAAAATTGGTTCCATCACAGATGTAGATCCAGCCTCGTAAATGTTCATCTAATTTCAAAAAGTATTTATGTAATTCTCAAGAATAGTGAATGTGAAAAAGCAGGCCTGGGGATAGAGAAAACACTAGAAAAGGCAACAAAAGTAAAAAATGACAGGATATATTTCCACCTGGAAGTAATAGGGTCAATACCTGAAAGTATCATTCTTCACTCTCGACATGTTGCTCAGATTATGTGTAAGTAAAGATGAACATTGTTCGTCTTTCTCTCTTGTATAAATCATTTTTCTTTTGGTGACATTTGCAAGAATGTTAACTGAAATCATTTCCCAGAAATGTCATATATAAAGAGAGAGAGAGGAATATGTTAGAATTCAAGAAGCTTGATCTCAATGTGCTATTTTTTTATGTCTAGTTGCGACAACATCCTAATGCCTCTCATAAGTAACAATTAGCCCTTGACTTCCATTCTAAGTTATCATCAAACGTTATACCCAAGAAGACTGCAAACTTTTCATTTAATTTGTGTCTCTTTTTTTTTTATCTCATTGTCTATGATTATTCTGCTTCACTAAAAAGTATGTAATAGACGCAGACGCATCTTTACAATATGAGTATGTCAGGTTCTTAAATCATTTACTCCTAATCTTCGTTTTTAAAATTGTTTGTGTTTTGTAACTGAATTTCAAATCAACTGTTTGAAAGCTGGTAGCTGAGCATGAGAATTTTGTCTTACTAAAGCAGGATCAGTTCAAGTTAAACGCTTTTATCAAAACTCATAGGTACTTTGTTGAGCTTCTATGGATAAATATATGTGAGCATGCCTGGTGAAAGGGACCACATGACGCATCTTGAAGAATCCCGGGGGTTTTTTTTGCATTTTCATGTACAGAGATCATTTCTAACAATATGCTTTTGAATTTTAAAGATACCTTCATTAGTTTTTGAGATTGGGTGATTTTGTAGGGCAGGGTACAGACACAAAGTTTTGAGAAAAACGGCTTTAAAGTTTCCCCTTTGTTTCTGCTTCAAATAGATAGATCTACGCTTCAAGACGACCTGAGAAAACATTCGCTACTCACAAACCAACTTTAAAAAGCATTTAAGATAAAGGAATAGCTTCAAAGTGTTTGTATTACGTCTTCAAAACAAATTCACCACCACCTTGGGCAAGAGCTTTCAAGAAATAGATCTAGGTTTGCGTAGGGCCGAAAAATGCGATACAAGTTTACTCTCCAAAAAGGCGAAAAGGTATGGATGCGCAAAGCTTAGCTTTGTTTACATGTTCTAGATATTCATGCGCACTACCCGCCACTAGATAGGAGAGAATTACCTAAATTTTGGTATGCAATGTGATTGGGTCGACTTTATGAATGGACAAGAGAAACCATCCACAGTGTGTACTTGGAAAACTAATTTTCTCTCGTTTTTGGGGGATTATGCAATTTACGTCGTGTTAAAAATGTATTTTACACTGCAATAAACTCAAGTCTTTGTAAATATCAATATAATAATGGTTAAAGAATCCATTTTTAATGGAACTTACTTTTCGTCCAAAATTATATTTTTGACCTTTGAAGCCTGATATCTCGGTTCAAGCAAATGCGTCTTGTGGTCCCTTTCACCAGGCACATGCACATATTAACTCTTTAGGTTTATGGTATTGGAATGAAGGCTTAAATTCTAAAAATATACCATTCATTTTCAGTTTTTGTGTATCATCTAGTTTTTTTCTCTTGCTTTCCATGTGTTATGTACGGGTTGTAGTGATCATGTGATCCCAGCGCTGGCTGTCTTGATCAATCTTTTTCAGGCCGTCATTATGAACTTTTTTGATAGATACATTGTTTATGTTCTTTGGTAAATCCCCGCTTTACTTTGTGTTTAGGAAAACGTTTCATAAACCCATCTATTTTTGCTTCAGGGTAGTCTAAAAAAATATTTTTTCTTTGTGTCTATTCCAACTCTTCGACAAATGACATTCAAATGACTGAAAGAATTTTCTGATATAATAATATGTGTTTTCAAGACGGGCAAAATGCATGTCCTAAGGTACTGGCCATTGGATTTTTTTAAATTGTTTTTTGAAATGCCAGTCCTAGACTTTGATCCTTTCTTGTTTTTACGTGCAAAGTGTCAAGACGTATTTTAATCTGAATGTGTTCTTTCTGTATAAAAAAACAACAACAATGTATTAACTCTTTTTCGTTTTCTTCATGTGGAATTTGGTTGAATTTGTTCTTTATTGTTGAATTTTTCTTATTGCAACAACAGATATAGGGGCCTATATTTTATATCATGATCATGTGCTTCAACACCACATGGTTTAACTTTAAGATCTATTTTAGTATAATAATTTCACTTGCTCAGAAGTATAATGAAGAACTATGTTTAAAAAATCATGGATAGTTCATTATAACTGTTTCCATTGTTTGGATTATTTCTACTTTTTTCAAACTCAAGGAGGATTGGAGAAAATGTTCCAGTGATCTTGTTCTGGTTCCATGGTTTATCTTTGGAATGAAGGTTGATCTTCCCAGAGCAGACTTGCTACCTCTGTGCTATAGGCTCTCTTATTGTTAGTTATTAGCTCTCGTTACCCACAGACCTGCCGCTTGAGGAAAAACCTGTTAAACAAATGTGTCGCAAAACAACAAAATAAGTCACTTGTTTCTATGTATCGAGCAAAACCTCAAATTTCTCAAATCTGTGCTTGTCCTTTTCCGCAACTTTAAGTGAGAATAACTCTGGTACCAAGGCAATGAGACTGAAATTATTTTCATCTTCTTGTAAGGCCAGATCAGGCCTTTAATTCTTTAACCATAGTGTCGTACATTGACAGCAATGTATTGTCACAATACAACATCGGACTCACATTATGGTGTTGCAACTCAAATGCTATTGAACTGAGTTTGCTTGAATTCTCTGTTGGTGTCACTCCTACATTCGTTGACTATCTAGAATACAATTTAAGCATAATTGTTACTCCATGCAACATTGTTTAACTCCTTTCTATTGAGCTCCTGTTTTATCACAAAACTTTTTACTGGTAATAAGAAGTACATTCATGTTTTGGTCCCTTTGCTGTACTGAAGGGTGTGTTCTTCTATCTTGTTTCTAGTTCTTGCTATTGCTTATGTTCTTTCCTGGCTACATTGTTGTTTGCTTGTCAAGAACTGAACTTTTTCTCTGTTCTCCAAATGTGTTGACTCTCTTCCAGAGATGACTATGTTAATGTAATAAAGCCTTAGTCTACTTTGTCTTTAAATTGGTTGCTCTCAGAGATTGAAGATAAACCCTTGGTGTCTTTGTAATAAATATTTTATGCCCCCCCCCCCCCCCCCACAACTTAAATCATTTTGGAGGTAGGCAGCGTCGACCTTGCCTGTTGGGAGCGACCAAGTCTTTCGTAGACGAATAGGCCCTACACTCCAGTAGAAAGACGGAGTGATGGTGCTCGATAAACTATTTTCCCCTATGAGGAATCAAACTTGTGTCTTCTCCATATATAAATATATAAGATTAAGTACCTGACCATTACCCCATTGTGGAGGGAACAGTTGCATGCCTGTCGACTGTGTGGTTGTTTGTGTGTGTGTGTGTGAGAGAGAGACTCTCCCTTTCCTTCCCCCCCCCTCCCCCGCTGACCTCATGCAGCTCATTCCCACTCCGTAATCCTTTGTTTGAACGCAGCCACTTGTCACGTGAATGTCTTTCAATTGATATCCTTTGACCGTGAAAAGCTTTGCATGCTTTAGACCCTGAAGCACAAACTTTGTTGTACATTGCATGAGAGTCTTTGAGTGTACAGACTGGATTCTGATAGCAACATTTTTATGAAGTAAATTGTTAAAGTTCACTTTGTCTATTGATCTCAACAAAAAACAGGTGCTCGTGGGCTCAGTACATACGCAAACCGTTTGTCTTGTGGTAACACACTTGCTGTCTTCAGTTTGGCCTGAGGTGTTGGTCTCTGGAAATGTATCTCTGCTGAAATTTTTGTGACTGGTGAACATTTCTTGGTTCGTGAGGATTCTTTTCTTCTTTTTTAATCTGATAATTTATAGATTTGAGGAGAGTTTTGGGAAGGATATGAATTCTAATGGAATAGTTGATGGCCAGAAAAAAAAAAGTGTTTTGTTTCATCTGTGAACTGTTATCAGGATTTGTTTTAGGGGCCTCACTATGGTATTCCTGTCCTAATTTATGCTGGCCTGCTATGTGGGATGTTATTTCTAGAATTTCCACAACAACCCATTCAGCTTTTATTTCTTTGGGTGGGTAATTAATTTTATTTCAGCTGATAACTAATCTTGCACATTCCAGGCTGTACGTAAAATGAAAGAGAATGGTTTAGATTCTTCGTTTTCTTTTCTTTTTTTTTTCTTTCTTTTTTTTACAACAAAACCGTGAGAATTAACTACAGTGAAATACAGGTAGTACTATTGGCTGTCAAGTTTACTGTTTCTTTGATTTGTAGAAGAAAGGATTGATGGGCAAATGAACTAGTTCCTTACTACATTTTGACACAAGACTCCTGATTACTGATTAGTTTTTGTGCACTGATTGTGTTTCTCGTGTTTGTCCATACTATATTGCTATCTGAGAATTGCAGCAAGGTGGCGGATGGTTGGAGTGTGCCTCTAGTGGCGTCTGCTTCTTTACGCTACCGCTTGTTGTTTCTGTCTGTCTACCTTGCTTTTTTTCCCAGCACAAAATGACCGCCATCATGCTGCTATGCTTCCCTTTACTCAAGCTTAACAAAAGTAAGGATACTGTATACTGCGCTTTTTTCGCTTGCTACTCGAATTCGTAATTTTGCATTGGAACCCAAATACATACATGACACTAGACGTAGCAAATCGCGAATTCAGAATGTTTTCGAAAAAAAGAAATGAATAAAATGAGGGAAAAAAGAGCATGCAAAAAAAAAAAAAAAACCCACCCTGGTGCACAGTTATTTTGTGGAAATGTGCATGGGGAGCGTTGTTCTGTTGGTGTTCTCTGCAGACCCCCTCCCAGGGTCAAGGGTCAGGGTATGGGAGGACAGGATTGTGTTCCATGGATGGCTCTCACTGAGCTCATGTCAACTGGCATTTACTCATTCCTTTCGCTGTGTTCATTTTTCCACATCTGCCTCAATTGTTTGTCATGAAAAGTGGTGGACTGTTTCTGTGACAGTCAGCTCTTAAAATCAGCAGCTTGTCACTTTTCCACTTTTGAATTAAAATTATGTTCTAAGCAATTTTCTTTTACATTGAGGAGGGGGGGGGGGGGGGGGTCATTATGTATTGTATTAGGTGACTATATATGGAAAATTGTCAGTGTTCACATTTCAATTTATGTTTTGATGTGGACAGTCCTCTTTTAGAAGTTTGTTAGTTATTGATATGTTTCTTTCTATGGAGTCGTTTGTCTTTTAAGTAAAAGTTCCTGCCTGTTGTCGGCCTCTCATTAAAACATTTTTAAAAATTGTTTAATGTAGGTGTTTTGTGCCCCCTTTGACACAGTTTAGATCATTCAGGAGGTGGGCTTCCAACTCTGCCTGTCAGGGCCACTGTCACAGCAGAAAGACTGAGATACTCGATAAAGATTCTCCTCACTCATAAATGGAACTCGGGGTCTCCTGCATGGGACAGCGAAGCACCTAACCACTACACCACAGACTCCGGTGTAGACTTCTCTGGAGGTGTATCAACCAACCTTTTAGACTTGGTGCTGGTGGGGGGTTTTTTCTTTTTACTAGGCTCCTACCTTATTGCTGTGAAACTAAAAGGCACTATTATGTAGAGTGATGCTCAATCAAGAACAGATACATTTCAGTAACTTTTAAGGAAGAGTCCTCGCTATTGTAGTGTACTTAATTGCTTTGGCTTTTTGTACGCTCCTTGTACTGGGTAAAGTTCAAATCAAATTAGGTGAACATTTCCACCATGACATGAAGAAATTGAAGAAATTTTGATATCCTCAGAAACGAAGCATTTTGTCAGTCCAGCCATTGCATTATTATTATTGAGAGACAATTTGGCATAGATCTCCATAATCTTTGAAATGGTTCAAAAAGCCATTTTCAGGCTTTCTTGACTTTGGGGTCGTTTCTTTTTTATTGATTATCTTTAAAAAGAACAATAAGACATATTTGAAAAGATACAGTTTGGGAGGTTTTAGGTAAGCTGTGTCGTCATCTCTTTTAAACATCTGGGGTGACAAGTAATAAAGTGGAACGGGATCACTGGCTCTTTGAAAGTAAAGAAAGACATGATTGAAGTTGTTTTTATGCAATTAGTTTGCAGTTCCCTCAATGAATGTATGCTCAACCTTTTGTATAGCATAGAGAATGGTGTGAACATATTTCACGACATTTTTGTAGCTATCTGGATGGATGTCTACCTTTAGGGTAGTGTCTTACAAGTTTTTATCACATTTGCTTTACTTTTTGTTCTAGTTTTTATGTGAAGACAAAAAGTTTTTCTGAAATGTATCATAGAACCTTTCGTATATATATTGATGTTAAGGAATGTTGATACTGACAGAAGCCGAGCTCTTTGTCTGATTCTTGCTCGTTACAGGTGTGATGTATAAAAGACAGTTGAAATGAAATGACCCATAATCAATTGTAGATTGTTGAGAGTTCTGAAGTTCTCTCCCATCTCCCGGACTGTTGTACTGACAAGCAACTCAAGAGCTGTGGTCCTTTGGCTTCAGTGTGCGCGTACAATGCTTTGTGCTGGGGCTGTTGGCAGATGGATGAAACATCTTTAAACTGTTGTAACCTAATGAATGTGAACTTTCAAGTTATGTATATAATATATATACATACTATACATATATATATATATATATATATAAACATATGAAATATAAATAAATAGAGATATCCATAAGATTGTACCAGATGATAAATATATAAGTGATGATATCATGTACATTTACATGTTTGTTAACTTAAGTATTGTTTTCACTTGTGTAAAGAATTTTAACAAAAATCCATTTCAATATAAAGCACTATGTGTTGAATAAAATGACTTCTGTTTCTTCATTCCCCTTGTGTGTTCTCATTCAAGACTGATTGTGGAAGAGGGTATGTAAGAAAGTAGCTAGCAGATTAGCTTGGTGACTTTTATGTGGATTATGTGGTTCTATGTAAACCCATTGTTTCTCTTGTTCCTGGCATCTGTGAGTGTAATGGTTATATTTTGTGAGGCAGCGTGGTGAAATCAGGCACTCGTCAAAATTATGAAATCGGAGAAACAGGCATTTTTCTGCAAGTTTGGCCATTTTGATTTTATTTTTATTTTTTGGCTTAACCTCTTTTATGTCCATATAAAAACACGTTTCTTTGTGAATTTTACGGAAAACATTGATTAAAGACACAAATTATTTCTTTTGTCAGTTTTCAAAGACTTTAGCTATTGGAGTTACCAAACTGTGGTGGTCATTTTCTCGCTAATTTCACCACTGAAACCAGGCAAACTCACTTCCTTCAATTGCAAATATCCTGACTTCTATTCAAGATAGATGAGTTGTTTTTTAACCAAAAGCAAGGCACATGAATAAGCTTCCAGATACTACGAATTTAACTCTACTTGCCCAAAAATTGAGGAGCGCCTGATTCCAACACGTTGTTGTGACACATTTTGTTAATAATCACCGCCTTTTCTCAGGGTTATTGTGTTTCATTCAGCCCTGGTTGCTCTGACACTGACAAGCATGGTCGAGGCAGCCTGCCTCCTGCACAATCAAAAATCAAATTCAGTACTAAATACCAGTTATCAGTTCTCAAAAGGGCAGGCAAATGCCCATGGGTTTTCTTCTTTTTTTTTTCTAAACTAAAAAATGCTCAGCTTCACTGGGCTAGCTATTTTGTAAGAATATTTGATTTCTAAGAAATTGAAAATGTCTGCGAAGGACATTGATCCCTTGATATATTAGTATAAAGGGAAGCCCTTGGAAGACCCATCTTGGGAGCAGCGATTTCTAAGGGAAGAAGCAAATCATATGAAGCTACTCGAATTAGAAATGCTGAAGCCGAGAGGGTAGCTTGCAAACTCCGTACGTATCCACAAGTGAATGTGCAGCTTGCTCATAATGTGGGGGCTCTCGTGGTCCATAGGTTATGGTGTTCGCATCTCATTCAATAGGTCCTGGGTTCGAAACCTGACAACGGAAAATGTTCTTCTCTAAAATGTTTTCCTTTCACTTCCTTTCCTGCTCTCCTAACCATGTTCTGTTGTCTGCTTTCATCTCCACTTTTTGCCTCCTCCGCTCTCCCCTTTGCCCCATCCTCTGGGCCCCTGACTCTTAGTTCAGCCTTACTGTTACTCCATGGCTCCTCCTTACTTCTTACTGCTGTCTTTCAGCCTCACCCCTGATCCAAAGGTAGGTGAGATCTAAAACCTAGCTTTGTCGGATAAAGGCGAAAAATCTCGGAGGTCCCGTGTGCAAGTTGCGGACGTTAAAGTTTACTTAAAGATCCCTTGGTGGTCCCAAATCGATGAGAGCAGGCAAAATTCAAACATTCCTACCAAACTACAAATTGTTTAATGTGTCCCGCGCGCTCATATGACCATAGGGCGAAAACATAGAGAACGCCGACTTCGGAGACTGACTCGGTAAGCGCCGATAGGTATAAATTGTTATCGCCCTTGTGCCTTATGGAGTTGCAACGCCGTCAAACACTTTCCAAAAGAACTTAATTAAAGGAGACATGCAGCTTCGGTCCTGTTCACCGAAGTCAATCCCGGGCTGTGCGGCATTCGTCCTTGCAGAAAGACATTGATACTCAATAAAATTCCTTGTCTTCCCTCTCAGAAAGCGAAATCACGTCTGTTGATTGAATACAAGTCAATGCTATGATAATTAAGAAAAAATGCGTGGGGGAAATTGAAAATGGTTGTTTGTACATTTCATTGTCTGGGACGGACGTTTTGTTAATAATAACGAAGTGTACACAGAAAAACAGGTTCGACTGAATTTCTTAAACGAAATAGAAAAAATAAGGATTAGAATGACTCACAGTTTTTGCTATTGCAAAAAAAAAAAGCCAGATTCTGTCAGAAAAGAACTCCACATTTTGAGCCTTTTCTTTCTTTCTTTTGTCTGTGTTTTGTGGCGCTCGCAACTGCATTTAATGGCATATATGAGCGCACTGGACATATTAAAATGTTCAGGTTGATTTGAATTTTGTCCGGGTGGCGGCTAAAGCCTACTCTTATCGACCACCAAGGGATCTTTAACTTCCCCAACTTGCATACCGGGCCTCCGATAATTAGATCTCACCTTCCATAAGATCAGGGTTGTGGCTGAAAGACAGCAGTAAAGAAAGGGCCAACGAGTAGCAGTAAAAGGATTGCAGGACTAAAGTGGGTCATATTTCGAAGGAGACATTATCAGCTGCACGTATTAATAAACAAATCAAGATAATAGCGTTTTACAATTAACTATAACAGATTGGAAAACAGGGCCATGAAGCGCGGGGGCGGGGGGGGGGGGGGGGGGGAGAAGATGGACTGAAAAAATGTAAGATCTACATGAAGTAACAAGTACCATCCTCCCGTTAGCATGCCTTGCCGTGTGCCCACTCCGTGTACAATGTCAGATCCCATTCCCATAATAGAATGGAAGTCACTTTCATTGCAGAGAGAGAGAGAGAGAGATTTTTCGCTCACGCGATGATCATTCAATCGTTAAATTTTTGGTGTAATTATGTTTCTCAACAGGAAAGTTTATCAGTCCTTCCGCCGTCACACATACACACACGCACGCAAAACAAACCACGCACACACTCACCCCCCCCCCCCACACACACACACACCAACACACACCAACACACACACACATCAACACACACGCACTAACAGACACACGTGCACACACACACACACTTACAAACACACAAACGGATTGCCTGTGCATTGTTTCAAGAATGGTTTTGAAATGAACCAGAAGCGAATTACATAAAGGAAGGTTTGAAAAAAAGAAAGAAAAAGCTACCATCCAGGTTTGAGCATCTCTCTTTCCAAAGCAGCAGCAAAAATTACATCTTAGACTGTCTCCTTATGTGCGACGCGACGTCATGTCGCGAGCAGTCCTTGCCGCTCCTTTAGGTTTAGTAAGAGTTTTACGGCACTTGCAACACAATAGAGTCGATATACATGTAAGTGCCGAGGATTAGAAGTGTTACAAAAGAGTAACAAACACAAAAAAAGAAGGGGGGGGGGGGCATCCGAACGATAGATATTTGGTAGGAAAGCTCCCAAATCAGTCAAGTACTGTTCAGATTTTAAATTTAAAGAAGTTGTCTCCTTAACTGCGAAGCGACGTCCAGCCGCCCTCGACAGTCGCCAGTGACCGGTCTATGCGGCGATTGAGACCTCGTCGCGGGCGACAGACTGAGGGTCTGGCAGGTTTAAAACATCACCATTAATAAAAGTGTCTAAATAGGCCTACCTAGCCAACGAGTGCCGGTCGACACGCTGTGGGATGTCGTCACTTCGTCACGCGACTCATCGCTAGCGACTGCCGTGTGCGACACGACGTCACATCGTGTTATATAAGGAGACATGCTCATATTATATTGAAACCACAGAATTCTACACTTATAAGCGGAACTCCCTCTTCGCGATCGCAGATTCGCTGTGAGGAATTGAAACTAAAACATGGCGGCCGGTTGAGGGCACCCTTGGCTGCGCCGCACAGCGAGGCTTCGCGTTGCTATGCACGCTGATGCTAGTGGTAGGGCTTGGAAGACACCTTACATCAGTATTTTAAAAACTTTCTTCGAAGAGGAAATATAGTGAAATAGTCTAGTACATTTTTATTGCCAACAATATGTCATAATTGGCAATGTTACAATGTTTTTGTATTTGTATTGTTGGTTTGTTGTTGTTTTTTAATGATGGGATGGGATCTAGATCTAGATCTAGATAGATCTAGATCTCTAGATCTACTAAAGATCTTCACAATCACAATACACTTGATAATAACACTAATTATGAACATTAATTCTGTTGGCAAAATATCTAGATATAGTCTTGATTAGTACTAAATCTACGATAAGGGGACGCTGACAGTAACATAATGCTCACTACAATAATATTGTCATTAAACTTAAGGCCATCCAAAGCAAGCAAAAAAGAACAATATAAGTCTTTTCTCCAATTTACTAGAAAGAGATAAATAGAGCTTATATTGAGGAAATGTATTATTTCTCACTTTAAGAATTCATCTCTGTGTTTGCATCAATAGTGTGTACAACAACATGCTTTGTTTAAAGCACGTGCGAGTCTAACATAAATACAAGAGATTGGAGAATGTGTTGGTTGTACAGAAAATATATAAGCCTATTGTACATGCTGCCAAAAACACAAAAATGCAGAAAAGGCCTCAAAATATTGGTTTACACATAAAAGCCAATAATGCAAAACAAAGTAAACAAGAGTGGAACTGGCATAGGTTTCCTAAATATATGTTCAAAGTCATTTTCTGTGTGTTGGAAGTGTCCTTTCTAATGCATGAATGATAGGCTCATTAAGATGTGATAATGAAGAAACTTGTGTCTACAGTCACAACAGAAGAGTTCCATGGCGAGTGATCACTGGTCAAGGATTTCAGAGCTGTGTGCATTTTGAAAAAAATGTATCCCCATACCCTGGATCACATGTCGAGGAGATGGGCTTGTCCCCCTGTAATCCCCGCACACAGTAAACAAACACATATTTTTGAACACGAATAAGAAAAAATAAGTGGTCTCTTGTTACGGATCAAATTGAAGTCCTGTTTCAATTCAATTAATTGATAAAAGTGCGTATCGCAATGCGTTGGCCACCCCTGCCCTATAGGCCTATGCTATTTAATAAATACATTCGTCAGACCTGGAATCTTTAATGCCCACACACAGTAAACAAACACACATTTTTGAACACGTATAAGAAAAAATAAGTGTTGTCTTGTTACGGATCAAATCGAAGTCCTGTTACAATTCAATTAATTGATAAAAGCGTGTTTCGCAAGGCATCGGCTAACCCAGCACTATTAC